GACTCACTTTTGACGAAATCTGACTAATGCTGATTAACCATGCTTGTGGATTAAGACTGAAAGTTTCTCAGCATATGGGGTTTGAATCCATGAGGTCACCACAACTCTGCGTTGTCATCTCTACAACCACATGTTGGTTTCTTTAGTTATTTTGAGAAAGAGGAACTCTGACAAAAGAAAACTTTAACTCTGCATAACGAAGCATATAGGCCTAGGGGGTGTATTGAACTTAGTTTAAAGGATTTTTTTGACTTATAAAATTTTATGGGTATTGAATTAAGATTTTAAAAGATCATTTAAAATATGAATGTATTCAATTTGGATTTAAAAAATTCAATCTAAATCTAATGATATTCAACACTTCATGAATTTTTAAAGATACGTATTCTACGTAGATTTTAATGGATTTGAAGGTAGAAACTATAACAAAAAGTCTATAAACAAATCCCTACTACTCCCAACCAAAGATAATCCCAACTCCTAATAGTCTCCTCTCTTTCGTGGTTCGTGCGCATAAGAATCCCGTTGTCTTCTTCCACATAACCATCGGAAGCGTCCCTTCTTCGAAATACGCATCGGAAGCATCCCGGCTGAAAACTTCAGGCTAGTCTAGAAAAACTCGCCGGTGACACAGATCGGACGCGAGTTGGATGAATCGGCACCCAGAGCTATGGAGAAGATGATGATGACTGGAAGGATGGGGGAGTCATGGTCTGCCACTGCGCCCTCTCTGTTCACTTCCGATTCAATATTCCATGCCCCCTGCACTGGACGTCGCATTAGGAATTGTACTCTTTCCCTTACTCGCCCATCTATACAATATGTTTAATTTTAGAGTAATCTTAGAGTCACAAACATCTTAAATACAAATTACACAAACATACTATTTGTGTATTGTCTCAAGTCAATAAAATAATTTTAAATAATTTAAAAATAAAAATTAAATACACAAATCATAGTTTTCAGAATCGGTCAAGGTACTGGTTCACTGATCGAACCAGTGGTTCAACTGGTCGAACCGATGGTTTAAACATATATAAAAATTAATTAATTAAATAATATATATATATATATATATATATATATATATATATATATATATATATATATAAACACATACATATAGACACACACACTTTCTCATTTATAAATATCTAAAGAACATAATTTATAACATTTTACTAAAATTATATTAAAATATTTGAGTTATTTTACTAAGTTAAAAAATAAAATTTACATATTAGAAAAAGAATATTTAAAATTTTATAAATGAAGACTTGATTTTATTTTTTTTAAATAAGTTGTTTAATATTAAAAAACGCTCAAATAAAATCTTTGCATGATATTCATTTTGTAATAATACCAATAGTATCAATGATTTTGTGTTTGATTCATAGCTATGTAATATTATATTTTTAAAATTAAAAAGGAATTTTTATAAAATCCTTTTTTAATTATGAAATATTACAAAAGATTAAGTGAAATTCTAACAAAAGCATCCTTGCTTTGATGGTTAGGAACTCAGCCAAATGTCTACAAGGTCTTAGGTTCAAACCCCCATGGTTGCATGCTTTGGAAAAAATCACAAAAAAAAAATGGTTCGGCCGGTCGAACCGGCCGGTTCACACCGGTTCCCACCAGTTCGCACCGGTTCGATGCGTGTTACGGTCCAAAGGGCTGAACCGGACCGGTTGGACCACCGGTTTTCCGGTTCACGGTCCGAACCGGCCGGTCCGGTTCGATTTTTAAAACTATGACACAAATAGCAGGTTTGTGAAGTTTGTGTTCAAATTGTTTGTGACTCTAGCACTACTAGTTTTTACTCTATAATATACATTAACATTTTGGTTAATTGTTTTTAATAAAACTCCGCCCAAACTAACTCTAAAAAACGCTAAAACGATACTCCCTCCGTCCGGAATTAAAGTTCCCACTCTACGTTTTTTCTCCGTCCGGAAATTAAGTTCTCATTCTACGTTTTCATACTCACTCTTCCTAAAATACCCCTTCTTCTATTCCTTTCTTTCTTCCTTTTTCTTTTTTCTTCTCCCCCCCTTCGCAGACCTGGTCACCCCCTCCCTTTCTTTTGCTTCTTTCTCTCGTTCTTTCTCTCTTCCCCCTCCCCCTTCTATTTTTCTTCTCCCAATTATCTTCTTCTTCATTTCTTCTTCCTCTCCTTTTCCTTCTTTCTCCCTTTCTTTTCTCAGCATAATCACGCCACTCTCACTCCCCCCCTCTTTTTCTTCTTTCTCTCCTTTCCTTTCTCGGCCAGATCTGGCCATCATTTTCTCTCTCCCTTCCCCTCCTTTTTCTTATTCTTCTTCTTTCCGATTAGATCTACGTGCGGTGATTCGATATCATCTCCTTGTAGATCTACGGTTGAGGGAGGGTTTTGATTTACTTGCAGATACGGAGGAGGCTGGG